TATTCTCTTAGCAGCCGTCCAACAGCTTGGATCAGACAACCTTCAGGGAAAGGACTGGAATGGATCGGCAGAGCTGGAGAAGGATGGGACACAATCTATAAAGATTCATTCAAGAATAAGTTCAGCATCAGCTTTGTTACTTCCAGTAAAACAGTGACTCTGAATGGACAGAATATGCAGCCTGGAGATTCTGCTGTCTATTACTGTGCCAGAGAGACACAGTGACACAAACAGGGAGCAGAACTGTACAAAAACCTAAGCCTGAGCCCATTGGCGGCTGACAGTTTTCTCTCTGCAGGGGCCATATATTTAAAAAAGAGATATACCAAGAATCTAGCAAATGTATAATAAGTTATCACACCAGTATATTTATATAAATGCTAACAACAAAAATCATTATAAAAACACTATAAAAACACACATGGATATCTAAAGAATAACCGCTGCTCTGGGAGCTTTTTTTAGTTGTTTACTTTGGCTGTCTGCTTTTTGCTGTTGTTATGTTCTCTGTTTTTTTGTTCCTCTTACTGTATCTCATGCAGGTGTGGAAGTAGACCTCTACTGTGTTGTCTATTTTTGCTTTTCTCTTTTTCATGCACTGTTTTCTCTCCTCTCTCCTTAGTTTCATATCCCCTCTTTCTTTCCAACCTCTCTTTCTGTCTCTTTGTCCGATGCATTGTATGATTTTACTCCCTAAATAATTTTCAATAAAGTTTATGTATTAAGAAAATAGTAACACCAGAGAAGAGTCACATTCCTGCCCTTACACTTGATTTTATTGCTTAAATATGAGTAAATATTTAAAAATAGATAAAACTGTACTTATTTCTTAATTCCATTTTGATAGTGTTTAATTATTATTATTAATTTTGTATCTTGCCAGGAGGGACATATTTAGGACATGTATTCTGGGGGTGCTTTGTTCCAGATAAGCAAACCTCCACTTGGTTTGCTCCTTAAGGAGCTTATTTTAAAAATAAAGTTCTTTATTTAGAGCTATACTAAACAAGTTCCAAAGAGTTGTTAAAATGTAAAGTTGTTTTGAGTAAGAAAATATAGTCTTCAGATAAACCTGCATTTCCACATAATGATGATAACTGTTCATATCTTTGAACTAAAATTATCCTACATTATGGCAAAGCAGGGGAATTCTTAAAGCAAAGCATGTTAAAAAATACTCCAAATTAATTATCAACACCAAAGTTTGCATAAAAACAATATGTGTTCAACTTTTTTTCTTTTTTGAAGGAGGAGTTCATGCAGAAGTTGCACAGCTCCCATATTTACATGTCATGTATAGTTAAAACCTGCAGTTAATAAGAAACAAACACACAGCAGGCTGATAAGAGACACATGGCTGCTACAATGGTCAGACCTCACCGCATTGTGATTGCTTTTCTAATCCTAACGGTTAACTGGACAGGTAAGAACAAAACACGAGGAGCTCTTTGAATTGGAAAAATACATTTAAAAAAACAGTTTAGGACCTCATGATTTGTTTATCTGCAGGTACAGAAGGTCAAACACTGACTGAGTCTGAACCAGTGGTTAAAAGACCTGAAGAATCCCACAGACTGACCTGCACATATTCTGGGTTCAGTAGCACTCCTTATATAGCTTGGATTAGACAAGCATCTGGAAAAAGACCGGAGTGGATCGCTTCTATCACTGGTGGCAGTGAATACATCTACTACTCGGATTCACTGAGAAACCGTTTCACCATCTCCAGAGAGAACAGTAGAAATCACGTTTATCTGCAGATGAACAGTCTGACAGTTGGAGATTCTGCTGTTTATTACTGTGCTAGAATAGGCACACAGTGACACAGAAAGCAGAAACACTCTACAAAATCTCCTCCGTGCATAAATACTTCTGACAAAAAGACACCACAGGGGAAGCCCTTACACCATTTATCACAAGAAAGACATTTTAATGGAGAAGTCTCTGATTATTTAAAGGGATTTAGAAAGTTCACATTACAGAAATAATTTTCAAATAGTAGAATTACTCAGTTTTGAATAATGAAACTGATGTCAGTAGGTTTCAATTAGCTGAAGTAGAGCACCCATTTAAACCTACTTGTTGTTTCTGAGAAGCTTTTACACATATGTCAAAGATCTGCATAAGAAATCAATATTGAATATATTCTAAACATTAGTTTCATGTTAGTACAACATCCAGATAATACCTAACATACAGGACACAAAGTTTGACCTAACAAAGCAAACCTAGGAAATGCCCCTCCCCACAACCATGGCACACACCTTCCTCTCACCCTCCAGCTTTCAGCTAGATTTTGACATAAAAAAAAAATGCAAAATACAACAACTGTTCTAAAAATCATACGTTAAAAGAGACAGTTGATCACTATGAGGGAGGAATTCTGTGTGCCCAGAGGTAGCTTCACGAGATTAGGTGTGTCCAAATTTAGGGGCTGTGTCCTTCAAAGACCTCAAAAACAGAGGTTGAGATTGATAAGCTGCGAGGTGGAAGAGCCTAGCCTTCAGCACCTGTATGCACTTCCCTCAGTGTAACTTTCATTGCCTAGCAACCGTGACAGCATGATGCACAGGCCTACAAAATCTGAACACTATAATTTTCTAAGAAAAGCACTGAATTCACAAAATATAAATTAATATGGCATCCTTTTTATAACTCATCTTATGGAAAAATAAAAAATGCAATATACAGCCCATGACAAAAGTTAAGGTAAAACCTACATTAATTATTATTTATATGAGGATAAGGGGTCTATTTTCACTCTTAATAGATGATTTCAACAAACAGGACGTTTTCAGCATTTTTTCTTTTGAATATTTTCAAAGAGCTGAAGAAAAACAAATGTTTTCTGGAAAGTATGTATTTCTGACTGTGGAATAACTACATCATTAATATTTGTGTAGAAGGAATTTTGAACATATTCATGAACATATTTTTAACATACTGTATTGAAAATTAATTCAATAGTTTTGGCTGGATCTCAACTCTTCGCCACAACTCTCTGTATATTTAATACTTGAGGAACTGCAGCAGTTGTACCATGGCTAAAGACATGTGAAGATGAGCTACTGTAATTGCTGCTCTGGCAGGGTGGTGCTGACAAATGTAAAGCTCTCTTATAAATCAACTGGGATTTTAATAATCGAGTAGATATTTGAGTTTAACTAATTTACATTCTCCCCCTAAAAAAAACTTAAAGGTCTATTTTGGTCCCTAGAAAGAGTATTATTTAGCATTCAATTCACAATTTGCCATAGCAGGTTGCCAATGCTGCCCGAGGTTGACCAATCATTATCGATCTGCACTAAAAAATTGGAAATGGTGGGCCATAAATGGTAGATCCTTTAGATTGGCCGATTGAATGATTCAGCCATCTGCAGCATTTGAAGGATCCTTAGAGGATTTGTGATGGGGAAAACCTTTAGCACAGCATTTAATATAACATGCACAATTGCATCCTTCAGGGGGATGCAGCCCCTGAATTTGGACACAATGTTTGGGTTTGATGATTTATAGTTGTAGGGGGGAAATGAACAACTTAATTTACTGAGTTAATGGTTTGTGTATAAAAATCTTCTGGCCAAAATTTTACACACAAATTAAAATTAACATTGGAGGTTTGTGAAGTTTTAGTACAAGTAAATCTTTAGGTGTACAAGTAAAACAAAAGCTTTCTATCTAAATTCTAACTTCTAAAATAAAGGCCTAGGTGTTCTGGATCATTTCTACCTTCATATCTGTCCCAAGGACAGAACAAAGTCAGACAGAGCTGGGGTTCAAACAGTGAAACCTGCTTCCAAAACCAATGCCTGCATCCTGTTATAGGTGTTAAATGCAAATATCTCAATAGCTTTTCTTTGTGACTGTGCATCCAGATCAGTGTCTGACCATTGGCTGCCTGGTTTCTCAATCTCCTGGCAGGTGCATGTCTTTACAGGATTTCAACAGAACACTGGCTCCAAATGAATGGAATCTGCAGCCTGAAAAATCTTCTATAACGTGACACCATCCTTATGAAAATCCTTTGGAACATAAATGAGGCTCTAGAACCACTCTTGATGGTCTCAGTGAATAAAACAATCACTATACACTATGTTAGATACACATGTTAAATAACTAACAGAAACACAAAATAACTTAAACAGAAACACAAAAAACCCAAAAACAAAATCATGAGTGTTATCATTACCTGATTATTTAAAATCAATGTAGAGTTTTATTAAATAAACAAACAATTTATCCTCATAAGGAAACATCCATCGATCTATTTCAAAAGCATTTAATCAAGATGTGGATTTTCTAGCTGTAGAACAGTTGGGGAAATGCTTTAAAAAAGTATGTTTTCTATTTAGAGCTAAGGAAGTTCCTCGTCGTTGTTAAAAGTGTATAATTACTCCTTTAAAAAACTAAAATGTTAATAAAAAATATTTTTCTCAAAAAAACACTGCAAACCTATATTTAAATATAAAACGGCTTCGGATACATCTTCCCTAACCCTAACCTTCCAAATATCTCTGTTTAATATTCATATCATCTGGAAATTATTATTATTGCAGACTGAATAAATTCTTAGTCATCTAGGTTATGGAATAAATAAACAAGCTGAAATTGGAAGGCAACTGGACTTTCACATAGTTTTTTTGAAGACGTTTCGACACATCTACAAGAGTCTTTGTCAATTCTGTTTGCTCGCACCAGTCCCAATAAAATCCCAGTCTATTCATATCATAGTAAATAAACATAATATTGGTCATTATTTGCACTGGATGTTGATATTTTAAACAAAATATTACCTGAAACAGACATTTCTAATTAAAGCATTCACATGTCCAAAAATTATCCAAAACAACTATTAAAATCAGATGTATGCTGAAAGTCAGGATCAGTTATGTGTCTTTTCCAGTGGGAGGAGTTGATGCAAATGTTTGTACTCCTTTTACTTTACTTGAAAGGACCTGCATTAAATTAGAGACAAACAGACTGAGAATAGGCAGAGACACATGGCTGCTACAATGATCAGACCTCACCAGGTTATGATTGCTTTTCTCATCCTGACAGTTAACTGGACAGGTAAGACCAAGGGATCCATATAAGGTACATGTTAAGTATTAAATAAACAATCAATGTAGTTTGCATCCTAATGATGTGTTTATCTGCAGGCACTGATGGTCAAACACTGACAGAGTCTGAACCAGTGGTTAAAAGACCTGGAGAATCCCAGAGGCTGACCTGCACATATTCTGGGTTCAGTAGCCACTACTGGAATGCTTGGATCAGACAGGCAGCTGGAAAAGGACTGGAGTGGGTCGCTACTATCAGTGATACCAGCAGAAGCATCTACTACTCTGACTCAGTCAGAAACCGTTTCACCATCTCCAGAGAGAACAGCAGAAATGAGGTTTATCTGCAGATGAACAGTCTGACAGCTGGAGATTCTGCTGTTTATTACTGTGCTCGAGAGACACAGTGACACAGAAAGCAGGAACGCTGTACAAAAACTAATAGTTTTAACAAGAAGACACCAAAGGGGGAGCCCTAACTATCTTTGTCACAACAAACACATCTACATGGACACATCTTTGGTGATAGCGTGGAGATCTGAGCAATAAGCAATACTTGAGATGGAGGATAAACAGAGGACATAGTAATATTGTGATAATAGTAATTAAGCCACAGATCTCAGTCATGTTTGAGTTATTTTGAATAACATTTAAGTTATGCACAAAATGTTATTTACACATTATCAAAACTTCAACAAATTCAGCATTTTAGACACAAATCTCAATCTGGTCTGCTCAGTGGCGCAGTGGGTAGCACTGCTGCCGTGCAGCAAGAAGGTTCTGGGTTCAATTCCTGGCCTGGGGTCTTTCTGCATGGAGTTTGCATGTTCTCCCTGAGCATGTGTTAGGTTAATTGGCTTCTCTAAATTGTCCTTAGGTGTGAGTGTGTGCATGAATGGTTGTTAGTCCTGTGTGTCTCTGTGTTGCCCTGCGATGGACTGGCGACCTCTCCAGGGTGTACCCTGCCTCTTGCCCATTGACTGCTGGAGATAGGCACCAGCATCCCTTGCGACCCCACTAGGGACAAGCGTGTAAGAAGATGGATGGATGGATGGATGGAGACACAAATCGATTTTGAAACAAAATTTTCTCCATATCAGCCCACCTGATCTAAACATTTCACATTTGAGAGGCAGTCATGTCATTTTATGTGATCTTGATATAAATATGAAACATTTCATTCAAGGTTCCCAATGTCAGAATCATAAAGTCTGAGCTGCTATTTAGGATAACAATGATTAGAAAGTGGGGATAATCAGGAGAGATACAGTGGTTTGGAGAAACATCAACCCCTTTCCTTATTACTTTATTTTAATTCATCATTGTTTATCACACTTAAGGTTTTCAATAATAAACAAGAATAAACTAATTAAAATGTTAGTCAATTATAACCACAGTAAAGAGAAATAAGAAAAAAAAAAATTCTTCTCAAAATCACTGTTTTAAGCACTGTATATTTAAGCCACATTAACCTGACCCACATATTTCTAAATGTAGCTACTTTACGTTCCTTTACTTTAGGCCAAATAATTACCCTTTTTTCCGGGCTTGGACTTACTTCCATTATATTAAGATTTGTGTTAAAGATGTAATATGTGCAACTTGAAAATATTTGGGAGCTAACAATTGTTGATTTGTAGGGGAAAGTCATCGCATGAACCCTTATGATAATTATATTGTGTTTGAAGATATTGTGAAGGTTCTGGCAAAGGGAGATGCCACAGGGAGATAGATCAATAAACATACTTCTTCTGTTTGTTGTTGTATTCCAAGGAAAATCTAATTAAAATATTTGCCAAGTTAAGTATCTCTATTAAATCTATTCAGTTAGTGGAAGAACATGTACCTCTAAACATCTCTAAAATCCACTAAATTTTACGTGTTAAGCAGCAAATGTTATGCTCTGAAAGGCAATGCTTTTTGCACAGCTTTCCTGCCAAGGTTATGTTGTCAGTATTAGAAATGGAACTCTAACTTCTCTTTATTTAGGCTTTATTTAGTATCAAGTAGAGAGAAAAAAAAACGGTCAAATACAAAAGTAATATGCCAACAGGATGCAGTACTTTTTTTTTTTTAGAAAAACTTGGTATGCAACTACAGTGAGCAGCTACAGTAAGGTATGGATTTGAAAAGCTGTATAATAAAACTGTCCCCCTTGAAACTTTTGTGTGCTGCTGTTTCGGGTTCCTCTCCTGAAATGTAAGAAAATTACAGAATGATTTTATGGTCTAAATACTTTAATAAATGAGAAAAAGAAAAGAAAATAATTCATGCTTGGCAACAATTGAAAACCTTAATCTCAATAATCGCATGAAAATTTTAGGATTAATCATGATTAATCACATCATGTCAGATTGTCCAACCTGCTCTTCTGCTCTTTATGTAAATGCCTATTAAATGTTCATGGGCAAGCCCCATTGAACATCTCCCCAGCTCTGCTTACTGTCCGTCCTCATCACTCAAAGACCCTAACTTAGTGAAAGACTAAAATTATAAACAAATATATCATCTGGTGGGAGGGTTCAGCATAATGCAAATCAGAAGTTTTAAAAAACCTGATCTGATGCTGTCAGCTGCAGAATTGGAACTCCCTTCAGATCATCTGTACCTCCAACATGTACTCTGTAGCTCTGCTGCTGTTGGTGCTGCTTGCTGCATCCTGTGAGTCACACTGAAAAAAAGGCATAGCATGATAGCCCTGATACTTGACTGATGTGACATTTCAGTTTTCATGTTTTTACTTTTTAGGTGTTAAGTGTGAACAACTGACACAGCCAGCCTCAAAGACTCTACAGCCAGGTCAACGTCTGACCATAAACTGTCAGGTCTCTTATGATTTCAGCAGCTACTGGACAGCTTGGATCAGACAACCTGCAGGAAAAGGACTGGAGTGGATTGGGTGGAAATATGCTGGAGGTTCAAACTATAAAGATTCCCTAAAGAACAAGTTCAGTATTGACTTAGACACTTCCAGCAAAACAGAGACTCTGAATGGACAGAACATGCAGCCTAAAGACTCCGCTGTGTATTACTGTGCCAGATATCCACAGTGACACAAACAAGCAGCAGAGCTGCACAAAAACCCCTCAGAGCCTGAACATTTATATTAAACCACCACAGGGGGAACTCTAAAACTGTTTTTAATTTCATGCAATTGAAAAATTAAGATTTAAAAATTTGTATTTGAGGTTGACTTTAAAATTTTTTTTTTAAGTATAATCACATTTGAATGATAACAAATAATTAATTTATGACTTTCTTCTGATTAGCTGCCCCCTGATTAAAAGGAGCAGAACCTAAAGGACTGACCTGCTCAGGTTAAAGGTGTGGTTATCAATACTAAGACACTCGGTTCAGAAAGGCAGTCTAAAAGGAACTGTTCTGAGTCACTACAGTCAATGCAGACTGCACTGTAAAAAAAGTCAGTAAATTTACGGTAAAAAAAGGTAAAAAACCAACAGTTTTTGACCGTCATATCCAAAAACATTGCATTACCGTAGAAATTACATGTAACTACCGTAAGTCGAAACTGCAAAGAAAGTCAGTAAATTTACGGTAAGAAATGGTAAAAGACCAACAGTTTTTGACCGTCGTACCCAAAAACGTTGCATTACCGTACAATTACATGGAACTACCGTAAGTCGAAACTGCAAAGAAAGTCAGTAAATTTACGGTAAGAAATGGTAAAAGACCAACAGTTTTTGACCGTCGTATCCAAAAACATTGCATTACCGTAGAAATTACATGGAACTACCGTAAGTCAATACACATATATATCATGAATTTTTGACAGTCATGAGCAATAAAAAAAAGGATTGTAAAAATAATAGAAATGGTAAAATCCATAGAAAAATTGTATTCTTTACCAGTAATTAATAATCAATGGTACTAATTTCCCAAATTACAAAGTTTGTTGAAGTTAATCAGCAAAATGTTGCATAGAACTACATTACAATAATTGATTTCTACAAATACATCTTAAAATATATTACTCTCTTCTATTGACTTGTAGTGCAGGGGTTCTCAAAATGTTCTGCTTATAAATCTATATATTGTATTTAGTAAATAGTTATAGGGTGACTCAATCATAAGCATTTTAAAACAATGCAACACAGTTGCTTAGCAAAATAATTGCTTTCATTATTTAATCATTTATTGGGAAATATTAATATATTTATTCATAGCTATTCATTCAAGCTTTCTCTTTTTACTCATAAGGTTCTGCGCCCCTATGCGTTGCATACGCTGCATACCCACTTTTTGCGCCACTGTCCATACCTTTCAGGGGTCACATCACAATGATTTTCAAAATCATCTTTCGACTCCCTACCTCGGGAATCCTGTTCTAGTCAACATTTCTAAGATAAATAGAAGCTCTAGTGACCGTTCATTGAACGTGGTCTGATAGGACCAGTAAATGGGAGGGTGAAGACATGCATCTTGGGTGGTGAGACCTAAACTCGAACCTGTGACTACCGCGTCAAGAACCTTCTCTGTTCATGAGTTGTGTGTTACTTCTGAGCCACCGCAAGGGTACTGCATGTTTAGGCTAACAGAGAATTGTTTCTGAGTGACGTCACCCGTACAAGATCGCTCCTCCCCACTCATCTTCATGTGTCCCCATGACATGTTTTATAAACAGAGTAAGGACCATACGCAGTGTTTTGTTCATTCGCCGATTAAATAAAAAGAAATAGAATAATAGCAGCTACAGTGTGTGAAGAGCATTACATTCACTGAGACTTGAGTCCTAGTGTCCATGAAAATGTGTCGTTCAAAACAATCAAATCGTGCGTAAATATTACACCACTAACAGAATTTACATGTACCGTCAATCCTTACGTAAACACAGAGTTCTCCATTTTCTGTTGAGTATTTAAGCACAAGCGGGACAGCGGTTGCAATCGATTACCCAAGTTGCTTGATATGTTAACTGCGGTTTAGTTATGATGCAGTCTGACGGTGGGAGGTCTCTTGTCTAAAAAGGTCCGGAATATAATTTACATAAGGACGTAGTTGTCTTTAATACCAAGAACATAGGACAAAAACAGAAGAGATTTAATCTTGACCACGTGCCGACGATCGAACCCAGGTATTCTGAAGGAGAAGTGCAGACAAGCACCAGTGTGCTATTTTCCTTCAACTCGAGTGAAAGATTCAGATCCAACTACTTGGCACCTGACAGGATCCTGTTAGTTTTAGGATCTATTGAATTTATTTTAACAGGCTTGCTGTATGTTTTGCGGTAATTATAAATGCCTGAATATGTAGACAAGTTCAAGACAACAGCTACTTTTTTTTCCATCATTGTGAGAGGCTGTTCCTTTAGTTCAGTAAAATGAGAGAAGAGTGACTTGTATTATTTATTTTAAAATTGTAGATTCATTTAATTTAGATGCTCCATTAATATCTCAGCCAGGACTGCAACTAATGATTCTTTTGGCTATCAATAAATATGACAATCATTGAAACCCATACAAAATTGCACTGTAAGTCAGTAAATTTACGGTAAAAAATTGTAAAATGCCAGCAGTTACTGACCAGAATATTCACAGCATTATACTGCCGTAGAAAATACATGGCATTATCATAACTGAATAAATATATATCCTAAATAATGGTGACAGTCACGAATGTAGAAAATACAGAAATATAGTGTAAAAATATAAGTAATTGTAAAGTTCTTAAAAAATTGTAATATTGCCAGCAGTTAATTACCCTAAACTTAACAGTAGCAATCAGCCAAAATTACAAATTTTGCTGATGTTTAGATCTACAATGTAAAAGCGTAAACAAGACTGCAAAAGAATTTTTTACAAAGAACAGAATGCTGGTGTGATATTCTGGTTTCTTTTTTAATAATGCCTTTAATACACCAAACTGAAATCTCAGCAGTAGACCAGGCATCGATCTGGCGATCCACCGATTGCAAAGCAAACTCCTACAGCCAACGCCACCATCACTTATGAGAGTATTTGATCATTAACATTAAGAGAACTGTATGTTAGCCCCTCTTGCTTGAATGAAGCTGAAGTTGGTTTCCAATTGCTGCTTCCAATTTGGGAAATGGCTAAAGGGCAATTCCACCTAATTTTTCACTACAATCAGCATCTTTAATTTACTCTAGCTAAAAAACTACAACACCTAGACTCTTCAAATCTGGACTAGATTATTCTCAACTCATATCAGAATATTTAAAACCAAGTGTGGGGTTTGTAAAACCTTTATCTGATTTGTGAAACTTCAATAAAGAACAATTCTAGTGTTATCCAAAATCATACAAGTTGTAAAGTCACCCATCATTGAAGTTTCACAAATCCCACACTTGGTTTTAAATATTGTGCTATTAGTAGAGAATAGTCTAGAGCAGGGGTCCCCAAACTTTTTCCTGCGAGGGCCACATAGCTGTTCCTTTCTCTGCTTGGGGGCCGGTCTTAGTTTTTGGAGAAAGACACCTTAGAAACGTATTGTCGGGGGGGGGGGTATTGCTGACTACGACACATTCGCGGTCGCTTTTAGATAGATTTTAACCCAGAATGGAAATGGAAAAAACCGTGAGTGAAACGGTGACTGGGACTGACTAGTATATATTTGAGGGAAAGTTAGTTTAACATCTGCTCAAGAGCCCCCTGGTGGTTGAAGAAAAATCCACAAACCAGAAAATACAATATATGAAAAAAAATACACTGAATGCTCTCTGGTATGAGGAGGCAGGCAGGATCCAGCATTGCCAGACCAAATGACACAGGCTGTAGTTTGGGGACCCCTTGTCTAGAGAGTTTTTCATTTTGTTATTGTGATAAATAGCAGGGTTTACAGTAAATGGAGACTGTTATTTGTCATGTAAACAAATAATTATCTAGTTTGCATTGCTGCTTGATCCTTCAGCATCAGCAGCAAGATTCTTTTAACTCTGTTCCTGTAGTGGTGTCCTGAACTCAACACAGTAAAGTCACTGTGCTAACTAAGGTTGCTAACTAGGGTGCTGAGAGCCCAGTAGGCCTGGTCCTTGTCAAGATGCTGCTACTGTCTTTGAAATCAAATTTCTGCTATTTTTGCACGTTCAGGAGGAGAAGGGCAACGCATCACAGGTGAGTCCCTTTCACGGTTTTAACTGAAGTTAGCTAACTTTAACCAACTGACAAAGAAATGTGTAGTTTCTGAGCCATGCTGTTTATGTATATGCACTGCAGCTATATATTTTTACTATACGGAACATTTAATCTTCACAGATGCAACACTTCCATTAATGTTTCTGTAGGAACGGCTGCATAGATTATATTTCTGGTCTACTTTAGACTACATGTGCTTAAAGTTATTGTTAATGGCAGAAGCAACTTTTTCCAAGTTTGGTTCAATAATTAATTTGAATTACTTTGAGTGTGAAATGTTCATGCATGCAAGTTAAATCTCTGAAGAACATGTTAGCTTTTGTTTCAATACTTTGGTAATACTTAGAAGTATAAAGCTTGGCATCAGAGATATTATTTAATATTTTCCTTTGACGTCTTGACTCTCACCCCCAAAATACTTGCACTAAAGTCACTGGGTCCATGACAGTTGAAGGATTTTAAAATAAGAGAATTTAAATATTAATATTTTACAGCTTTTCTCAGTTTGGGTGCATCTCTCAGAACAGAATTGAAATTCCTAAAACTACCTGTTCAATCTTCAAATTACTGTGTCACTTCTGCACATCAAAAAATTAGTTTTGCAAGTTTTGCTTTTGTACATCATGTAGCTGGTTATGTACACTTCTATGCTTTTATAATTGTAATTTGCTTTTATCGTCTTGATCAAAATATGTTAACCCTCCTGTTGTCCTCGGGTCAAAATGACCCGCCACTGTGTTAACCCCCCCCCCCCCCCCCCCCCCCCCCCCCCAAGTTTTTTAACTTGAGATTTTAAGACTTTTCCTAGATTGGCCCAGACAATAGAAAAAGTTCAGTGTTGCTTTTAGTCTCATTTCCATGTAAGCTGTACAAAAAAAGGTACAAAGATGGTCTTCAGGTCAAAATGACCCGTGAGGCAAATGGAGTTGAAATCAAGGTCACAGAGTTATTTACAAACCATAAAATGTTACAAAGTTTTAGTTGTGTCTCAGATCAATCAGTAGCAGAAGTAAGCAGAGAGTGGAAGGCCAATTTTCCGAGCCACAATGCCACTCAAACTCTTTCACACCTACTCAAGACTGATGCGATTTGATGACCGTGAATCAAGACCAGCAAGATGTATGACAGACAAACTTGCAGCCATAAGAGAGGTATGGGACAAGTGGGTGGAGCGGTTACCCTACCTCTACAATCCAGAGCCTGATGTAACAGTGGATGAGCAACTGGTTCCATTTAGAGGTAATCTGTTTTCATATTTGTAATAAAAGTGATTTTCACTATTGATTTCTTTGACTGTTTTCTGTGACACTGATACTAATCACTGATGCTAATGTCTTTTGTCCAAAGGTTGTTGTCCTTTCCAGCAGTATATGCCCAGCAAGCCAGCAAAATATGGGATCAAGTCATGGGTGGCTTCCGAATCAAGCTATGCTTGGAAAATGCAAGTCTATACTGGGAAGTCAACCAGTGGATGCCCAGAGAAGAACCAGGGGTTGCGAGTTGTGCTTGATGTGACAGAGGGACTGAGGGGTCACAATGTGACATGTGACAATTTCTTCAACTCTTATGAACTCGGACAGCAGCTCCTGAAGAGGAAGATCACCATGGTTGGTACAGTTCGAAAGAACAAGCCTGAGCTCCCACCTGCACTGCTTGGGTCAAAGGAGAGAGAGGTCTTCTCCTCAAAGTTTGCCTTCACACCCACCACCACTCTAGTTTCCTACCTCCCAAAGAAAAACAAGAATGTAGTTCTTCTGAGCACACTGCACAAAGACGGCGACACTAGTGACCGTGAGGACAGGAAGCCAATCATTATCCTGGAATTCAACCGAAACAAAGGAGGTGTGGACAACCTAGATAAGGTGATTGGAGCATATAGCTGCAGAAGAATGACTGCCCGCTGGCCCCTGGTCATCTTCCACAACATCATTGATGTGTCCTCCTACAATGCCTTTGTGATTTGGATAGAGATCAACCCAACCTGGATGTCTCATAAGCACAACAAGAGGAGGGTGTTCCTGGAGGAGCTAGGAAAGGCACTTGTAACTCCACTCATTGAAAGAAGGAAGCATGTCCCCCGCACAGAAGCCTCAGCAGCAGTTGTGAAAGCTATTCAGAGTGCAGCAGCTCCTGATCAACCTGAGGATCCATCTACCACAGCCACTTCCCCAGCTAAGCCAAGTAAGAGGAAGAGATGTCAGTTCTGCCCTCAGACTGTAAAACACATACTGTGTGCTGCAGGTGTAAGAAATATATCTGCAAAGACTGTGCACTTGCATACTGCCCTACATGTGCCAATTAGTTGAATGGGTTATGTTATTTTTCATATTTTTGTATTGTACATCCTCTTGTTCACTGGAGAAAAGTAAAAGAAAATTAGTCACTGTGATGAATAAAAATGCATTCGAAACTCATTTTGCACATTTTTTTTCTTAAGCTATAGAAATTCAAGTGGAGAGGGAAAACTCAAGTATTCACACATTTTGTGGTGAGTGACAATATACAAGATAGAATTTGGTGTTTAAAATTCAATTAAGCTGCTTATATTGGGGGTTTAGTGAAGACGGGTCATTTTGACCCGGAGGATAAAGGGTGTATACAGAAAATGAGGACAACAGGACAACAACGTGTCTGTGTTGAATTCTCAACTTCCAAAATAGCATCAGTTCATTGTGTAAGTCTTAACATGCATAAGTCTTAAAGTTGTCATAATGTGAATCATATATTAATTAATTTATATTCTATTATTTTCTAAATCTGTCCTGAATTGGTAAATTGCTCCCAAGTGAGTCCTGAGTTTCTCTAACAGGTCAGTGTATGAACCATTAGCTCAACCAACGATCAACCAGTTTTCTGAAACAGATTGGAGGTGCATCTTGTGAACCATCAGTTGGCAACATTATGCTCTATATAGTCAGAACACAACACAATGTTACATGTCTGAGAACTGATGAACAAGTATCTGGACAGAGTGAACAGCCAGAGAGAAGAAGAGGAGTGAGGCTGAGGAGGAAATAGTTGGGAGGAAAGCAGAAGAAGAGTCAGAAGAGGCTGAGGACATCTGCCAGTTTCCATCAGTCCAACATCAGGACATGGCTGAGACCCACAACATGACGCTGATGGAGGTCCTCCCACCCTACTGTTCATTCCTTAACCCCACTGAGGAAAAAAGATCCTCAGTGGAGTTAAGGAACAAAGTGACTATGGAAATTAAAATGTAATGTAATTTCTACAGCACTGTACAGTTTTCCTTGAGGAGATTGTCCTGTGGCTCCTTTTCTACTTTTTTTGTTCTCTACATTTCTGTCTTTTTCTTTCTGAATCACCAAGGCATGGTCCATGAATAAATTATAGCAAAAGCGTAAATCAGTGTTTCTCAATCCTGGTCTTCAGCGTCACCCTGTCCTGCAGGCTTAGGTATTTCCCTTCTGCCACACACCTGAATTGTATCTCTGGATGATTAACAAGCTTCTGCAGCACTTGATTGTCATCCAATCATTTGAATCAGCTGTTCTGGAGTAGAGGCACATCTAAAACATGCAGAGCAGGGGGGTGGTGAGGAGCAGGGTTGAGAAACACTGGCGTAAATGATCCTTTTGTAGTCTCTTCTCATGACTAATCAATTTGACTGTCTTATCTGTACATAGAGAGACTATAACTTATTATTTTGAGTCACTGATATGTTAACAGACAGAATTTTAAGAGCTGAACTAAGGATTTTGAAAGCAAACAAATGCTATTTTTCCTGTTTCTACAAATTGTTTTGAGAAATGCGCTTACTGTTTTGTAAATGCCAACAATGACTTGAGAAATGCACCAAAAGTGACTGAGAAAAACTAACCTAGCATAAATTGTCTCAGCTGTGTCAATTTGTTTGCCTGTATGAAAAGTGTTCACATTTACAGCTTTGTTTCTGCTAGCTTGCAGGAAATGTAACTTACATAAATGGTTGAAGACAACCTATTGGCCTTCATGAGACTCAGATAAATGGTGAGTATCTATTTCATAAATTGCCTAAAACAGTTATATTTGTTTTTATTTGTTTTTTGTTTGTGTATTTTGTCTGGTTGCAGACCAGAGGATCACACCTGTTGACAACAAACAAAGGTTTAACTACTGAATTTTCAGTCAGAAATGATCGCACCACCTGGTTGAAGTACCTGTGTCCATATGCAAGTCAACAAAGGTGAAACAAACATTTAAGCGAATAAGATGTTCATGTAGTGCATCTTTCTAACTTTTTCTTTTTGTTTTCCAGCAGAGAGGAAACACCCGATTGACAACATGCGAGTCTCAATTTCAACCTGTGACTGGGAAGACTACAACCATCCTGAGCAACGTCTGATCTCAGCGACTTGTGACTCTCAACCCAGAACAAGAATCCTTTTATCACCATTTTGTCTTCTACAATATGTTATCTCTTATGTGGACACATACTGTTTGTTTTGTTTCTGTTTTCCAGATCTCAGTAATACTGTGAGGAAACTGGACAGAAAATAGAATCAGTTCTTTTTTTAACTTGACTTTTTAAATAGAAATTGTTTCTTTAAGTGGATTACTCGTAATCTGTATTTTTGTTTAATTAGAAATTATTTTCTTTATAACTTTCTGTATAGAAATGCTTGACAAGTTACACTTCCTTGTGTGTTGTACTATAATTTGTATGGTAAAATTCTGGTAGGAACAGAGACCGGTAATTTACCATAAGTGTTTTTTGGGGGGGAGGGTTTACAATAAAATGTCAATATATCATCCAGTCTGGATGTGTTTTTCACTCATGGAGATATTATGCCTCAGTCAGCATGACCGTATTTACTACGGCAAAACCACATTTTATTTTTTTTTAAATATTTTAGGAAGTACGGTATTTTACCGTATTTTAAAAATACGGTAGAATCCTGCATTTACAAAATACGGTAATAAACTGGCAGCTGTGGTTGCCAGAATTTTACCGTATATCAAAAATACGGTAAAATCCTGCATTTAGCAAATACGGTAAAAAACTGGCAGCTGTGGTTGCCAGAATTTTACCGTATTTTAAAAATACGGTAAAATCCTGCATTTAGCAAATACGGTAAAAAACTGGCAGCTGTGGTTGCCAGAATTTTACCGTATTTTAAAAATACGGTAGAATCCTGCATTTAGCAAATACGGTAAAAAACTGGCAGCTGTGGTTGCCAGAATTTTACCGTATTTTAAAAATACGGTAAAATCCTGCATTTAGCAAATACGGTAAAAAACTGGCAGCTGTGGTTGCCAGAATTTTACCGTATTTTAAAAATACGGTAAAATCCTGCATTTAGCAAATACGGTAAAAAACTGGCAGCTGTGGTTGCCAGAATTTTACCGTATATTAAAAATACGGTAAAATCCTGCATTTAGCAAATACGGTAAAAAACTGGCAGCTGTGGTTGCCAGAATTTTACCGTATTTTAGAAATACAGTAAAAAACTGGCAGCTTTGGTTGCCAGAATTTTACCGTATTTTAGAAATACGGTAAAAAACTGGCAGTTTTGGTTGCCAGAAGTTTACCGTATAAAGACGGTAAACTTCTGGCAACTCAGCTGCCAGTTTTTTACCGTAAAATGAGGCCGTTTTTTTTTACAGTGTGGGTCTCGTGCCTCCAACGATTCATCAGTCAATAATCGAGTCTGATAAATGTGTTGGATTTGTGGGCTTTGTGGCAATAAATGATTGCTACACATCCTGTTAAATAAACAGCATACTGTGTTTGTAGTTTGCAGTTTGAATGTTCTGGAAAAAAAAATAAAATGAAAAATGCATTTTTTGTTTTTGTTTCAGGTAGTAGCCAGAAAGACATCAATAGAGGAGTAACGAGCAGCATAAAGAAAGCTAAATAAGATTGTAGTCCAACTGTTTAATTTGTTTTACTATCTGCTCTATCTTGTTTTGTATCTTTATTTGCTTTTATTCTGCTTTTATTTTCCTTCTATTGTATCACCTAATTCACCAGTTAAAATTGTGTTGGGAATCATCTGAATAGGTCAACAACAGAAAAAACAATGGACCTGATTTTTCTGAAGAGTGGTGTTATTCAAACTCCATGGAAAACCTCAGGTGATCCCAGTTCCTAAGATTAGCAAACCAGGGCAGTTAAAAGACTTGAGACATGTTGAATTAACATCACTTATTCTGAAGTATCTGAGAGAAAGGTGGAAATTATTTTTGTCATATAAGAACTTGTGCATGGTTTTGATAAACATCTTAAGTTTAATTTAAACAGTGCTGCCATTGTGAAATAGGGACAGAGGGACAGAGAATTTATCTTCTTTGCAAACTAAACTCGTTCTCTTTCAGTTATCCTGTCTTAATTTTGTCAGTCATTTAAGTTTATTTTTTCTGATTTATCTGTTAGTTGTACAATCTGGCAATCAAAGACAGAAATAGCTTGAACAACATTGTAAAATTTTAGATCATCAGTGTGAAACAGAGATAACTTTATATCTTCTGCAACCAATAAATAGTTTAGAAGGCCGGAAGTATCTCAGCCTCTCTGGGACATGGTCTGGTGGTAGATCTTTTTTTTGCTCTGACACCAGAAAGTTCTCTTTCGCTCCCAGGTCATCATATCGTTTATAAGAGGAACCGCCACTTTAAATCTTTTATTCATTCTGAGATCAAGCCTTTAAACTGTGTAGGGTTATGTTAGGATTGTGAAATATTATCAAAATGACTGCTTGTATGTTGTGAATATGTGTAATATCTGTTATATAACATTGCAAACATGCTGCTATGACAAATTGCAACTAGTGAGGTTAATAAATAATTTAATCAAATTGATTCAAATTAATTACTATGAGATCTTCTAGGAAATCAAAGCAGCTACAACACAACTTGTGTCAAATAGCCTGAAGCATTTAGAACTGCATTGGGTTGGGACTAATTGTGAGAAGATTCCTAGATTCCTAGAAACTTCTAGTCAAACAATGACTCTGAATGGACATAATCCACAGTCTGAAGACTCTGCTCTGTAATACTGTGCCAGATAGAACCACAGTGACACAAACAGGCAGCGTTAGCAGCACAGATGCTGCTAGAAACACTCACATTATTATACATCAACCAGAGGAGGCGCTTTAAGACCACATATTGATTGATAGTGTTTTACAGATTACAGCACAGCAATGCCACATCCTCACATTTGATACTTAAAAAAATTTAAACATTTTTAACATGACAAAGAAGTACTTGTATCAAACTTTTGTTGAAGTAAATTTGTAAAGATTTTAACCTTGATGAACCACAATGAAAATTGTCTATGGCCAGAATTTCAGAATTTTAGCTTTTTTAAGCTTTTTGTCCTTCTTGTAAAATACATAAAATGCTAACAGAACATAGAAAATAAATAATATAGCCACTCAAGACATAAAACAAGATAGCTACCCTGCAAATGCCAATGGTTCATGATCATAGTTGGTTATTTTTTTAGTTTATTTTAGGTTTCCATTGCCCCTTTGCAAAGTGAGTTCTTGATTTTAATTATTGATTATTTTTTTCAAATCAGCTTCTGAATTTTGATCCAGCATTAATTATTATTATATTATTAATTATTTATTAGGATTAAAGATAACCAAATATTTTTCCAGGCTTTAGTTCAAAGTCAGCTGTTATCTGTTAGAAGTAAAACAAATTATAATTAAATGAGAATCATAAATGTATGTTACATTAAACAGCTTAAGTATTTCAACAGTCAATAACTCTTTATATGATTGATAAAGATTATCGCTAAGTCTAGTCAAGACTACAGTGATACAAACAAGCAACAGAGCTGTACTGAACACATGTGATAGAAAATGAGCAGAGGAAGGGCTCTAAACTTGTTTAATGAATTATTTGCAAAAATATATGAATGAAATGTTGGTGTATAACCAAAAACAAAAATATTTCAGAATAAGAAACACCATGTACATATCACTTGATATATCTGATAGTTGTATAATGTTTGAACACATTTTTTAACCCATTGTAACAAAGGTTCTAAAACAGAGCAATAGCTCACATCGGGGATTTCCAGGCGTCTATTCAAGATGTGTTTTCCTTACTTCAACAATGAGCTTTACTAAAGTTTCCAAATAAGTTTATTTAGATTTAAACAGATAAACAGTCTCAAACGTAGTGAGTTGTTTTTGTGTAAAAGTAAACCTAAAATTTGAAGGAAGATTACAAAGTTAAATTCAGAGGGCCCCAACAAAAAAGAGATAATTTCCTGTTTTTTTCTTATTCAACATGTTGTTTAAAAAATGAAATATTATTGGTTAGTTATTTTGAACTAAAGAGGTGCCTTTTTAAGAGTTGCTTTATGTGACGAAAATAATCCTGGATTATAAGAACAATTACAGAATCTATTTTATAGCCATCTAAACTTTTTATTAGAATTGTTCATAAAACATTATACTCTGTAATAGTTTTTTTTAACATAGTTTTAGAGTCTATCCTATAATTTGGAACTAGTTGTTTGAAATGTATACATTTGAATAAAAGTAGAATATTACACTTGAAGCATCAAGAGGTTCAAGAATAACAAAAACAAAATAAAAATAAAACTTTTTAAGAAAATCAGGATGAGTTCTGTTTATTTCCCAGGAGGAGGAGTTGATGCAAATATTTTTCTTTTACATGTCTGAGAGACTTAAAGACCTGCAGCAGATCAGAGAAAAACAGATTTCAGACCGATCAGAGACATATGGCTGCTACAATGATCAGACCTCATCAGGTTTTGATTGCTTTTCTAATCCTGACAGTTAACTGGACAGGTAAGAACAGAGGACCCAAATAAGAAACCTTTTAATCAGTAAATACAAAATCCAAGTAGTTCACATCCTAATGATGTGTTTATCTGCAGGCACTGATGGTCAAACACTGACTGAGTCTGAACCAGTGGTTAAAAGACCTAGAGAATCTCACAGACTGACCTGCACATATTCTGGGTTTGGGGGCCACTACTGGAATGCTTGGATCAGACAGGCAGCTGGGAAAGGACTGGAGTGGATTGCTCTCATCAACGATGGCAGCAGCAGCATCTACTACTCTGATTCAGTCCGAAACCGTTTCACCATCTCCAGAGAGAACAGCAGAAATTAGGTTTATCTGCAGATGAACAGTCTGACAGCTGGAGATTCTGCTGTTTATTACTGTGCTCGGTAGACACAGTGACACAGAAAGCAGAAACACTGTACAAAAACTTCTCAGTGGATAAACAGTTTTAAGAAGAAGACACCAAGGGGGGAGCCCTGACACCTTATCTATATAACAAAAAAATATTTAGTTGTATCTGATATCTGAGGGATTCCAGAAGGGTTAAGCTGGAGATATAACTATGATGTATTTTAATTCTTTGATTTCAGAACATTAAAATATATGTTTTACAAAGATGTTTTAGACTTTGACAGATTTATTTGTCCGTTTGTTTGCACAAGTGTAAAACAAAAAGAAATTTATTTTGGAACAGCTCTGGACAATTTCATCTTTTTTAAAAGTGCAGCCTTGAAAAATAGTAAAAAAAATATATATACATATATATATATATATATATATATATATATATATATATATATATATATATATATATATATATATATATATATATATATATATATATATATATATATATTTTATATATATATATATATATATATATATATATATATATATATATATATATATA